AGCCATACCGGTCAACAGCATGGGGTCACTTCAAGCTGGGCTGTTGCCCTGCTATGGAGACAGCTGCAGTTTTTATCATAGAGTCATAGAATGTTTTGGGTTGGAAGGGACCTTCAGAGGTCATCTAGTCCAACCCCCCAATATACAGTGTAATCATGTAGCACTGGTGACTCAAGCTGCAGTGGATTCCCAAAATCTTGTGATTAAATCAGATTGCTTGGCTTGTTCTGGTTTTAGGTCTTGGCCAACATTATATTGAAACTACTTGTTATTGATGTTTATGGAAAAAATTACTTTAACCCAAAGGCTAATGCAGATGTTTTATATGCAGTCCACCAAATGTATGTTTTTAACTGCACCTAGATATGGAATTACATTTAAAAATGTACTTTCTACAAAATTATTCAATAAGCATTGAAGAAGTTAGAAAAACAAAACCAAAAAACCAACCAAAAACCTCCGGATAGGAAAGAGAAATTGTGTGGTATTTCAGATTGCACCAACTTTACTTTTCCTGTAGTTACAGAAAGTAACAAAATTTCTTGTGTAGGAGGGTTTTTGTTTGACTTTTTAAAGCTTGAATTGAATGTTCCCCTTTTAAGAGTTACTTTAACAACGGAAAGTGCTCTTGATCTGTGTAATTCAGTGGGACTCAGGGCAAATGTACAGTTAGTATGTTACCAAGCTACAAGAAAAAGCCAAGTTCTTTTTGTGACACACTTTGTGCTTGTTTTTCAGTTGAATCTACCTTGAATTCTCCTGGTCATTAAGCAGCCCTCATGCTTTCACTTTGCGACCCCAGAAATACACCAGGGTAGTGAACAAGCAGAGTGATAAAACAGGAAATCTGTAACATTGTGCCTAAAATGTGAACATGAGAAGTAGCAGGCACTTTGCTGAAAAGAAAAGCCATTGAGCATGGTTGAGTTGCTTTTACAAGTGCTCAGGCTATGTTTTTGAGGAGTTGAAAAACAAAATCGCACATCTGCTCTTCAGTATAATCCTTTTCCATTAGATGTCTACAGGTAAGTGAATTTCTAAGAGTATATTTTATAGACCCTCTTCCTGTTTTGACACAGAGGTGCTCTGCAGACAGTTCAGGTAGTGCCTGTGCCCTTGTCCGTGCAGCCTTGGAGGTTTGCTGAAGTGGTCTTCTGAAACACTGTTTGGGGAAACTGATTGCACTTTCTGTCCTGTCCTTTTTTGTTTTCCTTTCCCAACCCCCAGATGAAATGTGTCTTGTTCTTTCTGTGCTGTTCTCAGAGTCATATCTCACAGGTATTATGGAAATTACAACTGATTCCCATAGTATCGATTTAGGGGAAAACAGAATACCATGATTTTCTAAGGGGATAAGCTATGATAATGCTCTAGTGTCTGAATAATACAGAATGGATTGATAAAAAGCCACTGTTTAAATAACTGACCCTTCCATTTAAGGACCTTAAAGGAAGGAACTTAAAGATGAACTTGGGAAAAGACCAAGCATGTTTTGCATGGCTGTAATGGGGATTTTTCTAAAGCTTCCCTAGTTGATGTGTATTTGAGGTAACAGTGCTTTTCCATGCTCTTCTCTCTGTGGAAGGATCTTCAGAAGGTCTTGTGGAGGTCTGGCTAAGTGACATAATGAACAGGGGTCATTGAAAAGTTGCCTTGAAATCTGGAGATACTGCTAACATTTGGCTGCCTGTAGTATGGCTTTGACTAGATGCCCATGGGGGTGCAAAAACTGCTCTGGTCTTTGCCCTGAAAATAAATAGGTAATATAAGAGAATGAGAGAAAGAAACTTGATGTAGACATATCTACATTGCAGCTTCTTCCATGAAGCTGCTGTGTTTTGATACAGCTGCTGAATCATCTTCAGTTTGGGGCAGTTCTTCATAACCCACGTGCCCTTGTGGTGAAGAGTAATTATTAAAACATTGCCCAAGTAAGCCATTTATCATGTTATAATATTAAAAGACAAGTACACTAGCTCTTTTAAGTGTATCTTTATTTTAATATGAACAATATCAGTATTATTATCAAGTGCCAGTATTATTTGAAATAGTTTTTCTGATTTCTTTTTTTTTTTTTTTTTTTTCTTCCCCCCTTATTTTCTTTCCCCTCTCCTCCTTGCCATGAACTGCTAGATGACTAGCTGAATTTAGCAATGGTAGAAGGTTAATAACAGCACTGGGCTGATATATTTCCTGGTGTCTGTGCCAAGAAGCTTGCCTGCTTGATCACTTTGTAGTTTGGTTAAGGGCCACAGGATCACGGGTTATTAGTTTCCTTCCCTTGTGATCCTGGAACTCCACGTGGTGTATGAAACAGCAGTGAGAACAGCCTGGAGGCTGGCCCTGAACACTGCTGTGCGAGCAGATTGGGCTCTGGGGGGAGCAAGCCTTCTTAAATCATCAAAATGTTAATTGTGAACTAGCTTTGGCAGCTGGCCCCTTTACGTTGCTTTGTAGTGAAAGGGATGGAGTTCTGTGGCGGCGGCATCTTTGGGTAGTCGCTGGGGCTTGTTTCTTGGCTGAGGTAGGTTCCTATGGATGCTGGAGGAGCAGCTGGTTGCAGTAGGGTTCTCCTGGCCCTGAAGGTTCTCAGAAAGGTACCCCACACTGCAATACAGCTGTTTACAGCCTGAACCTTTAATTAAGTCGGAACTTGTGATCAAAACTTTTTGAAAGGGACTCAGCCCCTGCTGAGCTGCATTAAATGAGTGCCTGGAAATAACTGGCATCGTGCAAGCAACTGTTTTTTATGGGTTCCTCTCAAACTCTTTATGTGTACAATAAATTACACTTGGCTGTCTCGTATTAAAATAAAGCTTTAGCATTTAATTCCTGTTAATTCTTTTCACTTCTCTCAGGTTAGCTTATTGATTCTGATCAAAGTATTCCTGTTTCAGGTTGTCTTCTCCCTATCCCTTCCCCTACAAAAATGCAGAATTCTACTTATGAATTTTTTTATTGGCTACAAGGTCTTTTTTTTTTTCTTTACTTTGAAATCCTTATTCTTTAATAATGTTTAGTAATATTATCAGTGTTATCACAAAAATTAATGACTGTAGGCTTCTCAGAATTTTGTGTAGTTCATATATAGGTGTTTAAACATTTTGTATCAGTTTTCCATTATTGAATAGCTTTAGGTTTTGTAATATGGAGAGCTGGCTAGGTCTGGGAAAGAAAGCGCCAACGCATTTTATTATTTCCCCTCGTATACCTCGAGCATGAAGAAATCCAGACAAAAAAGCAATAATTCTGGCCCAAACTTCTTCCTGCCTAGAGTCCTTCCAAACTTCCTAGAGGAAGTAGGTTACAAAGTATATTTGAAACAAATTTTCACAGTAAGAGCGTCCATTTAATTTGGCCACATGACTTATTACACCTTCGCTGAGCAAACAGTTACAGACAGGTAGAGACTGTGGAGGAAGCAGGATGAATGGTAGCCATCTGCAGGCTGCGTTACTGCGATGCCAAAATCTATTTCCTGCTAAAAAATACCATTGGAAACTACTTCTCCGTTTCCCTGCTTATTACCCATAGCTGTATTTTAGTATTTCAGTCTCTTAAATGTGGACCTAGTAAAAGCTACTAAGGATGACATGGAAATTACTAAGAAGCATCTCCCAAGGCATGCCTCTGATGCTTTTCTATGGTAGATTTAAATTCAGTTATATAATTAATGCAGTAATTATTACAATTATATATTTTATTAGCTTAGAAAATAACTTAATGTGTTGATATTTAAATAGGCACTTTTATTTGCCTGATCTTTATTCATTAATGTAGATTTTAAAGTGGGTTTTTGCTTTTCTTTAGAATTTCTGCTGGAAAACTGAGTGTGAATAGAGGGTAGCTGCACAGTCAGCTGACGAACATAGAGTTCGGTGATCCAGTGCACCACGAGGAAGAAAATGTCGCATTAAAATCCTGAGCTCGGGTCTCTTGTTACTAGGAAGAACTTCTCTCTTTCATTTTTAGTTGGCGCAAGCAGATACCCAGTATGGCTGAGACACCGTGCAATATGGTAAAGCAGCACTTTATTGCTTTAAAGCCCTCTGCTTTCCTTTGCCCCAGTTGGGCACACCAGTTTGTCAGGTGACTTAGCAGATGGGTTTGGAACAGGCGTGTCTGTTAACATTTGAGGAGCAAGGGTTTGTATGGTGTGTATAGCAGTCTTCCTCTCCTGGCTCTTTTTTTTCATGTGCATGTTTTTAATAACACAGAAGATGTTATCCTCAAGGTTGTCATTCAAGAGCAGCCTGTATTTCTCTTATGACTAACTATAATGAAATCCCATCTCTAGCAAGCAGGTTGATACGTGCTGTTTTTGGACACTAAGCTAACGATTTTTTATGACAGTTTTGAAAACAGTCAGAAATGATGTGAAATAGATGCAGGTGCGTGAAAACACTGATGCAGAACTGGACTACTTTCTTCCTGGAATCATGCTCTGGGAAGCAATAAACCTGTGTAACGCTCCCTTGTGCACTGCCATCATGCATCACAGCTCAAAAAATACATTGGGTACCTCATTTCTAAGAGAGTTTGAAAATACTGGGGTTTTGTGGTTTAAATATTTACTCCGTTACCTAGGCCATATGGGTAAGTGGGGACTACTGATACTAGGATGGTGGTAAGAGGCTGGGGTTTAGCTTGTAATGTTCTGTTTTGCAGTTCCTTAGAGCCACATAATTGACTTCACTGGGCTTTGGATCAGAATACTTCAAAGTACAAATAAAACACTTAACTGACTTGCAGAGTCAAACTTCTGAAGCAGGTTTCCCCAAGCTGCTGTTCTGTTTCTAGACAAAGGGATTTGGAGGCAAGCCCAAGTACTTCAAATATATCCCATAGCAATAAATAAACATTGGTCACAATAATTAAAAAATGAAATAAAAATGAATTCACTTGGTAATTGACTGTAGCAAGCAACCTATTGAGTGGACTGTAGATTACTGTGATATATTTTACTTAACATACTCAAGTCCTGTTTTTTCTTTCAGGGAGAAAGACCTTAATGCAAAGTTTATTATTTCAATGGAAAAAAATAAAACGACAATCACAAACTTAAAGGTGAGTAAACACAGTTTAAAAAAGGCAGTCCTGCCTGAATAGCTGCCAAAATATGGCTGGGCAAAACAGTGGTGCTCACTGCACTGTGGAAAACAGCCCTTAGTTTTTAAAATACAGTGTTGAAGTAATCCTTTGGGCAAATAGGTTAAATTGTTAACTTGCTGCACCACAGTTTTCTGAAAACCACTCTAGAGAATGTATCTCCTACGTCTTTCTAAGGTTTCACACTCTGGTCATTACTTAGCTGGAACATGAAAGCCAACAATAGAAGAAAGGTACATGCCTGGTAGCTATTAAACCTTTGCTTCATCTGTAGAAGTCTTCTGGAATTCCCATGCAAATGATCTAGACCCAGGGTACCCATCACTTGCTAAAATATTTTGATGGTATGTTCTAATGTCTCTCTCAGCAAGAGAAATCGTGCACAGCAAATAGGTTTTTGCAAGATAGTTTCCAATGACAAATATATGAAAAGGAATTTCAGTGTATAGTTTTAGACTGACTCAGATAGCAGTGAATGTTGCTGAAACGTAGTGCTAGCTGTCATGTCTTGAGCATGATGATAGTCTTAAGCAGCAGGTATGGAACACCATTTTAATTGTAACACCATATTGAAATGCTGTTCACAGTGCAAAGGTCTCTCTGGCTCCTGTTGATTATATGTGTAGATTAATCCCTTATAATCTGAATTGCATATACAGGACTGATTTAACTAAACGTAAGTATTGTGACAAAAATGTACTGTGGTGTTAGGAGCAGTAAGCTAAAATCCAAATA